TAATTTATCTCAAAACCCAGCATTTTAATTTCTCAGAAACGATCATTGCGGGAAAATTGTGTGCTGGGACTAAGATTTTTTAAGGATCGATGCGATAAAACGATAGTTCGAGGAACGATAGAAGCGGGAAAATGTAACATTATTTTATATGGGATGTATTCGGGACCGAACAAAACGGACGATGCATCCGGGAAAACGATAGTTCCGGGAACGATGGATAGAGGTTTCACTGTAGTTTCTAATTATGCAGTTTTCTCCATCCTCCTGTTACTTCCTCTCCCTTGGGTCCAAGTAATCTCTGCAGCATCCTGTTCATAGACAAACCACATACAAGCACAAAAACATTACCTGCAAGATAGCCCTCTGGATTTCATTTGGATTGAGGGCATGAGAATGGGGTAAGCAGGACAGTGCCAGTTCTGCTGCAGCTCGAACAATATTAAGGTCACAGCATCGGGAAGCCCTGTCTGCTATGCTCACTGCTTCAGGTGGAGTCAAATGTCCTTCCCAGGTCTCAATCAGGAAGGAGATAGCTGGAGCTCCAATCTCCATTGCCTGACCTGTGACAGCATAACCACAATGATCTTATTCAAACACAGAAGTCACTAAAACAACAATTAGTTTTACTTTCTCTCTTGTAGCTGACATAGTGTAATTTAGAATCAATCAATCAATCAGTCCACACTCTACTACTGAAATGATACTGAACCTGTGATCCAGGACACATGTGATGAGTACGTGCGACTGAGCCAGTTTGGACTGACACAATTGTGGAGACCGAGAGCATAAAGTCCGATCTGGAAGGCACAGATGTGGAGTGCACGGTGAGGACCGTGGTGATTCTGTGATGTTGATGCCTGAGTGAACAGTGATGTGCTGCTATTTCCCCCAGCCTTTGTCAGCACAGTTTTTGCTAGCTCAAACATGAAGTGTGCGCCTGCTTCTGATGGTTGGTTTGGTATCGATGGGTACACTCGTTTACCTTTGAATCTGTAGAGAAATTACAATTCCAAAATATGTTTTTCTAATAAGATATACTGTGATACTCATGCAATTCACCTTGCACATTTTGAGATTTTTATGTCATGTTCTCATGTTCATAAAGATGTCAATGTTGGACTTCTGGGTTGTAACATTGTTTAGACTTGCAGGTAGATATCAACATATATCAAAATTCTGGACGAACATACTGCCTCCATCTTCACATGTCATTACAACCCAGAAAACCAATAATAATGTCTAGTAGATTTCGTTCAAATTTGCACTGCACATGTTACAATATGTCTGGCAATATTTTGAGAGAGGAACATTTTGTGAAACACCCTCTTTGCAAAAAGAACTTACTACAATGCTGAGGAATATGAAGAAATGTAATCATGAAGACTAAGTCATCAACTTTTTATCAAGTAGTCACTAATACCTTACAAGAAATTGAGAAACTACAAACTTCTGAATTCCCTGTGCTCCTGCTGACGAGAGCAAAGTCACAAAAACCTCACATATCACATGACTAAAGGATTTGTCTAATTTCAGGCTTTAGTATTAGTGTTATTGAAATTTAGGGTTCAACTACTATTAATTGCTTGACTTATTAGTTAGAAATAAAAAAAAATACCTAGTTGCCTCTTTGGTGCGTGTGGACGTCACTTGTTGCACAGTGTTAGGGGGCCCTGCGGTGGCTGCAGCTGTTGGACTACTGAGGGACAGGGTGGCCAAACCCTGTTCCACCTCAGCACTGGTTGAGCTATGTGGACGGCTACTTGGACCCACTGCTAAACAACAAATGTTTAACTTACAGACACGGAGAAACAAACTAAACTCACTTCCTCATTAAACCTTTTACAGAAAAAAGTCTATAGCAGTTAAATACAAAGACCAATAAGACCATCACTTTGGATTTTTATGGACAATCCATTTTCCAGGAACCATGTCCCATCAGAACTGTCTTGAGCAGTGTCTTCTTATGCTAAGTCACATGCCAACTTAGAATATCTAATTTTTTGAGTTACCGTTGTAACTGATATTAACATACGGTCTATACAAGGCTTATTATAACAGTTCACCATTAGATCAGATTGATTTCTAGAAACACTACTTACACATGGCAGTGTTCTCGGCCATGACTGGATCGGATGAAGATCCCATAGCACTGACCATGGGAGAAGACACAGCCTCACTGCTAGAGACTTCTTCCTTCCTTCGACAACTGGACAGCTGCAAAGAAGACCATTGCACTATGTAAATTTAACACTCCATTAACCAATCGACTATCATGTAATTATAAGACCATCCATAACATGCGATGCAAACTGGAGAGTAAATATGGTGAGAGGCATATAAACATGAGCCCAGAAATGCTTCTTTTAACGCTTATCTTCTTAAATATAATTCCATGCTTCTACGTATCTTTCTGAAAAGCTGCTTGAATACAGGAGAAACTGTTTACAGCAGTGTCAAGATGTGCTAAGATGGATAAACTAGTTTCATTATTGCCTTAGTTCACATCGCTGCTCTGCATCAGAGTGGAATATTTTAAGCCAAATTATCTATTTAAAAATTAAATATTCATGATTAATTTTACTCTTCAGGAGCAGCAAACACAATGCAGATTATGTTCTTTTGAGTTATGATACTGTGTAGTCATGTAGGTACTACACAGGACGCAAGTCAAATATGTTGGTTACCACCTACAAGACTACGCAGCATCACAACCCAGATGACCACAATCAATATCTTTCGTACCACGAAAACGTCAAAATAATGTACAAATGGATTATTTTCTTGTTTTGGGTCCTAGAATATGCATTACAGTAGATGACACTACCTTTCATGGACACGATGCATATATGATTAAAATGAAGTTACCTGGCTCTTGGTGGAAGGGTTGCTGGAATACATGGAACTGACAATTGGTGTTTTGAGGAGCTGATGCACCTCCCTGTCAAGTAGTTTCTCCATAATACGAGCCACCTTGCCAGGGTCATCCTTATAGTGCACCAGCAATGCAATTGCTAGATCTCCCCTAAGGAAAAGACAAATATCTTGCACTACAATACAGCAAAAGAAATACTAATTTCAAATATTTAACCCTAAGATATGTTTTATTTTGGTTTTAGTACATGAGGACATATGGTGCTGTTACCGGCAGCAGACATGCGACAACATTCATTCAACAAGGTCAAGAATTTTATGTCAATGTCTAAGTCTACCAACCTCTGTCTTCTAGTTCCTTCACATAGTAATGGATGATCAGCCTCAGAGACATTAGCTTTCAATCCTAATGCTGCTACTGCAGCCTCAAATCCTAGGGCTTCATCAGTTGGTAACCTTAATGCTAGATTCAGGAGCTGACATTTTGGCTCACGACCAACTGTTGCTGGAAACAATATGTAATAGTGAGGTCACTCATGGCAAGAACATTCTGTCTTTAGATCAACACATAGGTTATTGAACAATGATACTTAAACTGCAAATGTTACACGATGCCAAATAACATGGGAATAGCACTAGTGTCAAAACCCAGACGATGACTGTTAACATTTTTCAGTATGACTGATTGATGTATACAAGGAAAATAATATAACAGTTTCAGTGCCACCTTAATCTGTTTAAAGACTGCTTAGACATACATAACAGAAACAATATATGACACTGAGATACAAAATAACTATACAGCCTAGCAGAGATTAAATTCACATAAATATAATAATTTATGAAGTACTGTCCTTTACCTGGTATCACAAGAACATCAAAGATAAAGCTGGCAAGCATAATAGGGAGCAGAGCTTCACCCCTTGAGCGCAATGTCCCGTCCTTCAACTGTTCGGCCCGTTCTCGGATCATCTTCATTTCCCAATTCCCAAGGGGAATGCGCTTTAGCAAGTTCACAAGTTCAGACTCCTGATTTGCCAATTTCACCTATAAAATAAAAATTACAGAGCAATGCTATGAGAAACATAGGACATTTTTTCTGGAAACCAATGTGAAAAAAAAATGTTTAACTGGAGAGAATATAACTCTGAACTACCAACTGGAGATAAATGAAATGTTAACCTTACACAAGATAAAAACATAAATCAAGGAATAATGATATTCCACTGCACAAGACACAACTAAAACAAAACAGTCAGTTAAGAGATTGGAAAAACTTTGTCAAATTCGACTGTCCAGAAAACACTACAATAAATATACTGCAAAGTTTAAACCGCTGCCTACTACAATGTCCTTCCCAATTCATTAATCATAAAATATGACATACAGTATCCAGACTGTTACCTCAAGTGGTTTGGTACTGGCAGGGGGACGAGCCATCTCAAGGCCAAACATTCCAACACAAAATGCAAGATGAAAGTGTTCCAGGTTCTCAGCCAATACTGTACAAAGAAATGCACACTTGGCAAGAGTAGCAGATGCCAAGCAGCTCAGCTGGCGTGATGCTGGATTCATTTGCTGTAACACAACAAACAATGCTATAAACTGTTTGAAATAAGCAAATAGTTACATACAATAAAGAGTACTGCTGAAATGTTATCAAGATACAAAATAAGAAAATATGACAATCAGAAGTACGTAAAATTGGGTTCCATAAAAAAAAATTAAAATCAAAACAAGAAGTTCACCTAAATTACTTTATATTCATTTAAGCTCTTGCATAAGTACCAAACACTCCCTATTCAAAAGGCTGTGGTTTTAATCTCTGACCAGACACAGATAGAGCAAACATCCATTTAACCAGCATAAGTTGGACAGAACAACCTGGTTCGTCAAAAACCTGGTTGATTTAAAGTTATATTTGAGGCTTGGAGAAATAATAAATAAGTACAATAGCTGCACAACAAAAATAAATTTCTTTTACTTCCACTGACTAATGTTGAAGTCACACAATAGGAGTTCCCATTCCCTATGTTAAGTATAATCCCAGTCTTTCACATACCTTCTTCCTCTTGCCCTTGGAAGGAAGTGGTGGCAGCTCAACCATGAGATCTGGAGGACTGGCCAACAGTTCCTTTGCTAGCCTGACTCCCAGCGTACAGGCCTCCTTGCCATGACCATGTGCGTGAAGGCCTTCAGCTCTAGCAAACAAGACGTCCCAGACGTCCTCCGTCTTTCTCAGGTTAGCAAATACAGTAGATGGTGAGAGAGGGTTCTGCTCTTCTCGTTTCGATAAAAACTTTCTCTCTGTGCCGCCATTATTTCCACCAGTGTTGCCAACTGCACAACAATTGCCTCCTACATTACTCACACCTCCACTGTTACTGTGTGAGAGAAGAGCTTTAGGGTCATAGTAGTACACGTTGTACTCATCTCCTGACTGTTGTGAATCAGAGTTTGAGGATGATAAAGATTCATCTTTGGACGGTCGACGGGAGGCTTCTGAATCTTCTGGAGGGGTCCCTCCACCTCCTGAAACAAACAAATCTTTAAATAAGGCCAAAAAAAGTCTATACAATTGATAACACTCCTTGGTGAACAGTACAAATACAGAATATGCAAGACACAGGAAGCATTCACAACAACCCCACAAAACATATCAAGAAACAAAAACTCAGAAATAGAGAAATGCATACATCACTTACCAGAAACATCTGAATCTGCATCCAGTACTTCTGGTTGAGACACTGATGGTGATGACAAGCTTGGGGATTGCAGCTGTAGCTTTCTTTGGGACACTGAAGTTGATGACTGTGGTGTAGACATGCGAAAATTAGTAGAAGCACTTTTTGAAGTGCGTGCATTGAGGAATGATCTTGAAGTGTCGGGAGAGGGATCACAGAAACAACCAATATCATCCAAAACAGATGGAACACCTCCTGGGGGAATAGTATTGAAGTTCATGCACATTTTATTACCACCGATTTTTCTTCTGTAGTTGCTGTCACTATCTTCACTCTGACTTTCTGTACTGGCCATGGATTTCAGAAGAGAGTTTCTCACAGAAACAGAGCCAGAACCAGCCCGTGGTTTCTTACATGGATCCTCCATAATCCTACCAATGCTGGTGCTTGCCCCACTACTACTGGCAGAGTCACTGCCACCCCCTTCCTGCGAATCAGTGTCGCCACTACTGACCTGCAGTGTTGGTCCCATCAGAACACCACTCTCATTCAAGATATCAGTATCTGCATCATTTTCACAGAAACCTTCACTACTGACACTGGACCGATTTCCATCCCGGTCCCTGTTGCTACTGAGATCAGGCACTCCGCTCAATGTGATGGGAGAGAGCGATAAGTCATGGTGGGTATATGAAAACTCAACAAGTTCGCTGATCCGGGCAGGACGTTTGCTCATCCCACCTGCATGATGACTGCTATGGATGTGACTTATACTATGTAAGTGTGGGTTGTGATAATGATGATAATGATGATGATGATGTGTATGATGATGGGTCGTCGATGGATGCTCACAATACAGAACGGCCTGTGACGAGATTACCTGCGAGACAAAAAGCAGATACAATAAACATACTACGGTATTAAGCTGAAACTGTTGGTAATGCTCATGAGCTCTCAAACATGCATACAAGATGAAATGGATGGTGCAAGTAATCAATTATATGTTTATATAATTCTGAGTTATTTCACTAGTATGAAGCAATCAAGAATCATTAAAATATTCACCTGTTTTCTTATTTTATGCAACGACAGTCTTGTCTTACCTGATTCACAACAAGATTCTCTGAACGAGTTGAATCCCCAGCATGGCGGAAACAAGTGAAGGGACAATGGTAGAGACGATTAACCCCACTGGTGTATGTTATGCCAGGGAGGGGGTAATCATCCCAATCCATGTAGCATGCCTCAATTGCTGGCTTGAATCCCGTGAACACTTCCACATCATTACGAAAAATGTTCACGTTTTTTATGTTGGTACCACAGCCATTTCCTCCAGCACTGCTACTTGTTAATGACTGGCTGTTCGACACTCCACCCCCACGACTCTTGGTCACCTATTCAAACCAATGTGGAGTGAGAATGATGAACACCAATGTGTTCATAACTTTGAAGATTACGAAAGCGTACCGTGGCATAAATAGTTAATATATGCTTGTTCAAAAACAATTAATATTACAGCAAACAGTGTACACAAATTCTTTTATGCTGAATTTACAAACTTCATTACAGTGCTAATTCTGTCAAGTCTCCCTGACTCATTAATCACAACTCTGATAACCAACTGCAATATTATTAAAAAGACAGATATCAAAGAGATGACAAAAACAAACAATATTTTAGTCAGAAAGCCCAAAAGGAAACCACTTGTTAGACCTATGTGTATTTATTTACTTATGGTTTATTTGAACCAGAGAAATCTTGAATACAAAGCAATATTGGTGTGGATGGGAGAATAATTTAAAAATGTTTCTTACACAAATACAATGCGAATGTCATGGTTAAGTGCTTTGTATCTGGATAAAATCTTGACGACTTATATGTTAAGATGGAGTGCTAAACACTGAGTAGAAGGAAAAGATAAATGGAGGAGGAGGAGGTGGAGGGGGAAAAGAGGGAGACAAAATAGAACGAAAAGATTAAGCAATAATTGTGATATTCTGAAGATACAACTACGCATATTGTCAGAAATGGTACTGCAAATATTGAATGTGCTATTAGCTCACCTTCTCAACAATTTTGATGTGCCAATCCCTAAATTGACCATGAAGAAGTTCCCTCTCTTCAGGAGAAATACCAGGGTTCAGAGCTGCTAACCGCCACAATACCACAATCTCATCACACAGAGAAGAGCATGCATGTTGTGATGTATGACTATTGCTGTTCACATTGCTATGCTTCCCCCCGCCATGTCCAGAGCTCCCGTTATGCAGAGCCACCTTCGTATTGAACCACCAAACCAGAATCTGAAACAGTACAACAAACGTGTATTCTCATACTCTTTACATACCAGTGGCAAAGGCTGATTCATTACATCACAATTATGTCACACGTCCGCTGCTTGAGGTACATTTGATTTATATGACTTTCGAGAGTTGGTTCTTCCCATCTTCAAAGAATCTCTCATCTGAAGATGCAAATATGACCTTGACTTTGTACATAAAAGAAGAAAAGAGATTAAAAACTGGGAAGAATGGGCAGGAGCAGCAACACGTGATGACAGAGCACAGGTTTAGATTCTCAGTTGCTTAACACACCTGTTCACATGCCATGCACTCCTCAGTAATTATCTCTAGAAGGGGTATGGCATTGCGATCATTCCTCTTGAACATCTCACGAACAATTGATAACAGATTCCACATGCCTTCTGGCTCCCTGCCGCGAAGTGGTCGCAGCAGATTGCTCCATTCAGCAGCTGCTGGAGGTGCTGCTGCACTCAAATAGTTCACATCACTGAAAGAGAAAACATATTTCATAAACAATACATAAAGTGGAGAATGTATATTCATTAATTTAAAATAAAGATTTATCATTCTTACAAAACACAACACATATAAGGGAAAACGGATATACACCCACAGTTGTAAAGGATCTGAATCTACAAAAAAAATTTAATATTGTGTTCTTGATTCAAAATATCAGCCCTAAATCATTTACAATACTAACGAGTTAAAGTGAAGAGAAAATTTAAAGACATACAATATATTATAGAAGCATGAATAATACATAATTACAGAAAAGTACAAGAACAGAACTGAGGGTGATAATGATTAGTACACAAAAACAAATGTCTATAAATTATTGAATGACAAAAAATGATGTAACACAAGACACACGTATAATAATTAAAATAAATGGAAGCACTATATCATATTACGTATAGTGCCAGGTGATGACAGAATACAACTGAAACATGCCACTACAATAAAACGAAACCCTGTACTTGTGTTGACTGACATTAACATATTGTTAACAGACCTGAACACAATGGGAGCTGGTACACAGAATTTTATGAGAATCTTCTTGATGTTGTCATGGAGTGTCTTTTCATCTAAATACCATGATGTCTGATCATTGGCAGAGGCTCCAGCTGTGGGATCAGGAGCACCACAAACCTGAAATAAACATAAAAAAAATCATGAAACACAAGGAAAAACTTTTAAAGATTAATTACATCAAAACTGATATTTCTAATTTATGTGGGTCATCTGTAGACACAGTTATACTCCAGAAAATTTGAGTCCTACAGAAATAGTCACTGGTCTGCACAGGACAGAAAGTTTGGTGTGCATACAAGACGTGGCAGGATTCAATAATGTTACTCACAGTGTTGATGGCAGAGGGCTGTGAAGAGAGCAGCTCGTCCAGTAAACGTTGAGCAGTGGGTAGAATCTGCTGTGGCAGCTCACTGATCAGATACTGAGCAAATTTCTGCAACTGCTCACGATGAAGTCTTGACAGCGACTCACTCACTGGTGCTCGCAGGCAAACCTGAGTTGGCTGTTGACAATCACATTGTCGCAAATCAACATTATACCACTACGAACATTACATATTATACAACAGACAGATTCCAAGATACATTAGTTTAAAGAATAGACAGACAGAACAATGTGTACGGCTGTAAGGTGAAAGCATGGTTAAGGCAGGTACCAAATGTAAATGCTGAAAACTATGCCATAAAGATATGTAGGAGAGCGGAGGTAAAGATCTTAGTATTCTCAAACTATGAATGAGTTACAGCTGAGTTATTTGATTCTAGGCTGTTCAAAGAAACAGGGGTTACCTACCTGATGTATCCTATGCAAACAGACTGCGACAACATGTGAACACCAGTAAGCAGTCGAGGAACAAGTGCAATTACAGGATGTAATACGCCGTCGATCAAATGTCACCGCCACGTTGTACTGTCCACGTACCTGCCCCACACTCGGAGGTGGCCACACACTTGCGCTAAGATGGAAGCCTGCCCACAAAATTATATTTAGAGACATCTTAATATGTGCAGTATCTTAATCAATTAACAGATAAGAATCCCCAAAGGGAAAAGATAAACAATATAAAATTGAAAAATTATTTCTAATAATAACTGCAGACATAATGGCTAGGATCAGCTAGACACAATAAAGGAATAATTTTATATACAGATTTAATCAGTACAACTGCACTGAGAAAAAGAGATAAAAAGAGAAGTCAAATCAAGATTTAAGAATTACTGTATTACAAGTTATCTATAATTAACACTGAAGATGTGTTTCAAGAAGGGTGAAATACATCAAAACTTTAGGCACTTGCCTATCTGGAGGGGATCCTTGACGGCCCGATTCTTGAAGAGGTGTTCTCCCCGTTGGAATTCATCTGCACTACCATTGGCCAGACAAGAGTATAGACGGATGTCCTCCTCATTGTCCGGGAAGCTCCAAAATGCGATTCTAAGCTGTAGCTGTTCAGGCACTGGAGGATACACATGCTCCACCAGTTCAAACGGTATGTGCGCTGCAACACACCGTGCCGTCAGTTCACCCAGTGACGGCACCTGGATCCCACATTCTGCAACAAAATAAAACCACAGCATAAGAGAAGATTTTTTTAAAACTTCTCCGAACAGTGGTCAGACACATGGGCATTATGATGCCACAAGCCCATCATTCCTTAAATAAAAAAGCAGGTTAATATCACAAAGGAATGTGCCTTAAATAAACAATCAAAAACAAGCTTAAATTAAATACTTGTTGAATGTGGTGTGTGGTACAAGGTTACATGGCATCACAACTCACAATCAACATTTTTATTGTGTGTGGACCTCAGATGTCTTAGCAATGAATTCGTAACTTCTGGAACCATAAACAAACTGTAAAACCTTCTCAGTGTTTGTTCTATTGAATATGTATGAATGTAAAATACTCTTGCTGCATCAATAACCAATGTCATTGTGATCATAAGAAGGAAAATACATTACAGAATTTCTGCTGGAATTTCCTTGGACATGTCTGACGAGAGGAAGTGAGGTGGTGTACCACAGAATGTGTGCATAAGACACAGACTTTCACCTTGTTACTTCAAGAGAGGGTGAGATGTACTGTCAACATTCTTACATTTGTTTACATTTTGCTTGAATATTCTCTCTTCTCACTTGATTCATCCACAAAGCTAATTGTAGCAGTTAAACTCTTTAAAACTATATTACAAGGCTGAACACAATCTAACAACATAAAGCAGAGTCCATGTGAAACCACCAATTGCTCAGTTCATCAAAAAAATCTCCACTCCGTATGCAATTTCAAGGTTTATTTCCACGCTCACAAAAGCCTACAACCTGACCCTATCGAAAGCCAGGTGTATCCAGTTCACATCCGAACACACTATTTTTAAGACCTTATTCTTCTATCTATGCCTAGTTCTTCTTTCAGGTTTTCTCCCATACATACTACATGCTTTGCCCATCCCATCCTTCTTAATTTTATCACCGTAATGATATTTGGTGATAAGCACAGAATACTATTTATAATGCTCTGTTAAGTTTCATATAACTTTTTATTTCAAGTGCACGAAATCTGAAAACGCCTAGAGGTTAGACAACACTTCTCGCAGTCCTGTGTGATGGTTGTCGGCACCGCCGGGTAACATCATTTTGTCTAAGCCTTTTTTACAATTGGATTCATGGTAATTCGGAGAAGCTATAGCAAAAGGATCCTTGTACAAGATAACCTAGATTAGCAGCAGCGGCCAGTGAATGATATTAACGACAACAAAGGATTCTGGATGACCCATACGTCTATATTGCTAAAAAATACAATAAATATTACAAATAATCACCTCAGGAGCCTCAATCATTACTCCGAAATTAACATTTTGTAATTAATAATATGTTCACTGCATTTAGAGGGCTCTCCATGTGTTCATTACACAGAGTTTTATGTCATACGATACTGATATTAGCTGATGTGCTGGGTTCGAATCCTTCTTAAATGGAGGGGAGAAGTCCTTTCTATCATGCTTGACATGCTCTCACTTAAATTTCTTTGGCAGGAGATGGAGAAACGAGAAAAAGTATGAGAAGCAAGGAGTAAGAATATTCGAAGTACGAACACGAACGAACAAGAAACATTTCAGATAACGAATGTAGTAAGGAGGTCTGGCGAGGAAAGAAATCAATTTGATCACAGTACAGATACAACATTCCCAATATTTTGCTTGGGTTCCTCGGGGAAAGCAAATGGCTTTCTTTACGAGGATGCTGAACAGAAAAAAAAATAAAATAAAAATAAAAAAACTAAACACTTACTCTGTGTGTAGCACCTTCAAACTCTGAAATATCTGACGAAATTTCTTAGCCTTTTTATATGAAACCTACATAAAAGTAACACTGAACCCATTCTCTAGATTACAGCGAATAAACTTTCTTTACGCAACATGATCCTATCCAGATCAATTCTATCCAATCAGAATTATTGTCTCCTGATGATAGAGACAAAGACGGTCTACGTAACGGCGGGTTCTTATTCCAAACAGACGTGGCTGATGTGTTATCGCTTTTAGTGACCCAAAAGGCTTTACGTTGTAGAAAATCGATCTCAAGCCACGAGCAAACACACATATATGTAGACATGTAGTCATTAGGGTATAAACTGTTTTATATATTCACATATTACCCATCTGTGACAACTGGAATTTCTGTTATATTCAAACACCAGTACATCGCTTCTCCATGTCTGTTTAGACATCGCTTCCTCACAGCACTAAACCAACAATCAGATGGTAACAAATTTCAAGTTACGATCCAATAAAATTTATAGCTAAGCATTCTGAGAGGCGGATCAGTTGATTATGCTTTTGTTCTGTAGTAAAATGTCGACCTCTTGTCTTGCAAGATTATATAAAGTCAAACGATAATCTTTGTAGCTAAGGTTCAGGCTTAATTCTCGCTCAAGACAAGGACCGTCTGGAGTGACATCGACAATGTCTGACTGGATGCCACTTCAAATGACCCTATTTACGTAGTGACACCAAAATAACTACTTTTTAGACCCGAGACATAATTAGAAGACTTCATTGTACACTTCGCAGCGGTCCAATGAGATGTCGAACCACGTGTTCTGAATCTGAGAACGACACATGTCCGACTATTGATGAATGTCACTATAATAAAGTGACACCGAACAAGAAACGAACGAAAGGCCCACATCAGTCGAAGTCTGTCATTACATACAGAACACGTGCAGAGAACGGGAGGTGCAGAGGCGATGATGATATAGTGACTAGCTTCATACTGGGTGGCCGGTGTTAGATCCCCGGCTGTAGCAGGGAATCTTCTATTCGGCATCGTGTCCAGACCGACTGTGGGGTTTGGCCCCAAACTGACCACTCACATCTATCCAGTGTCTAGGTTAAGAATGAATGGTGCTGTATCTCTATTCCACCATACGTATTCATGGTATGGCATGGCATGTACTCAATCGACGTATGGTAAAACAGGTTTCGAGGCCAGATTATTTATCACACGTGGATTTCAACGTACAAATTAATTCCACGGCGCAAGTGTTTTCTTTGAAAAGCTGACAGTCGCTAAATTTCTCAAGACATTCCCCGCTCTTTTATGAACCACACAAATTCAGAAAAACCGTCAATGGACCCTACCTACGCCATTTCAATCCGGGGGAAATCACTACTCTCTGACTATGCGTAGACAAAAACCGTCAATGGACCCTATCTACGCCATTTCAATCCGGGGAAAATCACTACTCTCTGACTATGCGTAGATATCACGCACTTGGAAAAAAAGAAATGATCAATAATAAATATCTTGTGTTTCTGTTCCTATTTGAACAAAAGAACTTTCAATAAGCTTTTGGAATACTGGTGCCTTCTGTGACTGAAAGTAGCCTAACATCAGAGTTCCTCCCTCTCAGCAAAATTTCGCACATTACAAAACACGCGGTAAATTTCAAGCGTTTTAAGGGGGTGGGGGGGAAAGGGTGCTGGCGTGGGGAGAAAATTTATGTACATCTGCTGCATGTGGGAACCAATAACAAACACGCCGGAAATACACAGTCTTGGCACATTAATTAGTATGAAGGCGCAGCTTCTGCGACAGCAAAACAACCATGCGGTTACCCACCGACCATTAAGTAATGGGGGAAAAAACATATTTAATCGATTCATCATTACTTTCTTTCATAATCCCTCCCTCCATTCATGTTTCCCTCTACCCCATTCCTCGCCGCGTGAAATGCGCGCATTTGCCCCGCCACACTGAGCGTGCTTCGTCTCCAGATTCACCCGACGGATTTCGATCAAGTTTAGTACTGAACCTTTCAAAGATGCAGCTTCTAATACTCTTTTGTACTGAAGACGACACAGCGCGATCTATCATTTCTCGCGATACAGCATCTGCAGTTCAAACAGTGTCTGCTTATAGATTATTTAAAGACACGTTCAGCAGCTCAGAAAATATAGCATGTGTACTATATTTGTATTTGATCAAGAACGAATATATTTTTAGTTGCAGTATGCCACTCTTCTCATTACCAGGGACTTACTAAGACATATATAACGCAGCTCCAAAAATACACCCTGTATTACTCCTGCCATACTTTCCCGAATGCGCCATGTCAGAGGTCATGACTAAAAAACTGGACTGTACTTACATTTAAACAAGGGATATCTGCTATCCGCTTACGAAAAATCCTGTATAGATTTTAAAGTTGTATTTTACCTTTTGCTGCAGACTGTATGGTACCCGTATAAAGCTATGCAAGAAGTGTTGCTCGATGGGGAATACAAAGCCCTATCTATTACTAATTCATGGTGGCAGGGTAATAGTACTTGTACAATACGTCGCGTACCGGAGTGAAACATTCAACTCAGCAGCCTATGTAATTCCACGTGGATACGGCATACAATGAACCGAGCTAAGATAACAAGACGTCCCGAGCTTAAGAGCAGGCGTGTCAATGCACTGAAGCACAACACATGCGGGTACCAGCACAGACTACACGTGTTTGAGCATTTTACCATCAATTCCTCATTTTAATCTGTAACTGACAACTACTGAGGGAAAAACTTAGCAGGTTTTAATGTTGGTAGACAACGAAACTACATCATTATCATCACAACATCCCAAAAGACAGTCATCCCTCGGGAAAAGAAACTGATTAATTCTATCATGACAATGTTATTGAATGCGATATTATTAAAATTTCACTATGAATTAACAAATCTCTTGAGGGAAAAAGACCTCTTTTTGGTTCTAGTTAAAACGGATAAAAAATAAAAATGTCTCTAAGATCAGGTCGGAAATTATTGCAATTTTTTTCTTTTCTCATGACCTCACAAATATGAATTTTTAATCGCTTCCACGAGACGTTCGTCCATATTAAGCATGTTCACACTGTACAGTTTCAGCTGTTAAGTTATCGGCGTTTATTTTAAAATTTCATCACAAGTCAATCTAGATTTCGTAGTGAATACAATACGTTGATGAACAGGACTTGTTATTTCGAGGGCAGAGACCCACAACCGCACAGACGACAAGGGGTTTATTGTTTATG